CTCTGGAAATGGGATCTCGGTGGGCCTTTGAGGACATAGTGAAGAACCTTCAAGGGAATCCTAGAGCTTGATTTCAAATTGGGCTTCATTCTTACTACTTCAGCTAATGTGCTCTGGGCAGCCGTCCTCCACTGTACATGTAGAGGCCAGCAGGAGAGTCTTGTGGAGATTAAATGAGACTAGGGAGGTAGGGGCCAGGCGAGGAGTAGGGCTTACTGTCTGCCATCCCCGTGGGTGATATGTGGTCACCCCTGGAGCTGTGGAATTCGGGAGCAGTTAGCATTCTCATTCAGCTTTGGCTCCAGGAGCAGGGTAGAAGTGTCATTTGGGGGCCTTAGTGTAGGACCTGACCTTGTTCTCCCACAGCCTGACCGAGTTGGCAGTGAGTTGAAGGCCATGGTGCAGGCCCCACCTGGCTATGTCCTTGTGGGGGCTGATGTGGACTCACAGGAGCTGTGGATCGCAGCTGTGCTGGGAGATGCCCACTTTGCTGGCATGCATGGTGAGCAGGAGCCGGAGCTGGGTGGAGGCAGGCTGACCCCTTGGGGTTCATGTGGGCGGGAAGAATATGTGGGCGCCACCTTGCTCATTCCTGCCTTGTCCCCAGGTTGTACAGCCTTTGGGTGGATGACACTGCAGGGCAGAAAGAGCAGGGGCACCGACCTGCACAGTAAAACAGCCACCACAGTGGGCATCAACCGTGAGCATGCCAAGATCTTCAACTACGGCCGAATCTATGGGGCTGGGCAACCCTTTGCTGAGCGATTACTGATGCAGTTCAACCATCGACTCACACAGCAGGAGGCTGCCGAGAAGGCCCAGCAGATGTACGCTATCACCAAGGGCCTCCGCCGGTGAGGGTCCCTTCCCCATCCATGTCACCCCCCCAGGGCCTCAGGCCTGCTTTACTATTTACTGCTTCACTGTCCCCATCTTTTCTGCTTCTTGTCCATTACCTTAACCCTCACGTGACCCGTCTCCAGGGAGATGTCTTAGCACCAGGATGGCTTGTCCTTGCCATTGTGACATTTGTTTGTTCCTTGGCCCTAAACTCAGGTTAAAGCTGTATGCTGTCATGCAGTATAAACCAGAACTTCAAACCAGGTCTTTCCCGTTCAGGTGGAGCTGACAAAGCAAAACCAGAACAGACCTGAATTTGCAAAAATGTGGGTGTACCAGACGAGACCTGGAATGAGAACCAGTGATGCAGGCATTGTAAACTCAAATGTCCACCGGTCCTAAGAGGAAGTGAAACCGTCGGGTGTTAGATAGGAATGGAGGGGAAGGGGTTAATGCAAAGCTGTAGCATCTCGGATGGTTTTGTTCTATGGGGAAGCATCCCCAGGCTCCCAGCTTACTAGCCTAGCTCTAGAGTTTGTTGTCTCTGCCGGGGAAAGGCCTTGGTAGTAATACAGGTTGGGTATTCAGGGCCTTAGCTGACCCTGGGTGGGCAGATGTGTGAGGGATGAGGTACATTTATAGTTTCCAAAGTTAAATAAGTGATCAGTGGTGCAGAAGGGGTAGTAGTGTCCAGTGTAGGCAGGTGGGGCCTCAGCATGCAATGAGGTAGGGGTGGGAGGGCCTCATAACTGGGCTGGTAGAGGCCACAAGGCCAATGAGAGAAGTGAGGGTGAGGGTGAGCTTTCATTGGGAAGCAGTGTTTGGAGTAAAGGCACAGGAGTAGGGGGAAAGCACTGGTACCCTAGAGCACTAAGGTGCCAACCTGGTGGTAGTCCACGGTTTGGATGGAAGCTGTGAGTTTGGGGAGTGGGATTGGAGAGAAAGGCACACCTCATTCTCTGCTTCTACGCATCCCTTTGTTTTTATTTTACTCCTTGGAAACTTGTAAGCCAGTCACTTCGTGCCTTTATAGCCCCTCCCATTTTAGGTAGCCAGTGTCTTAAGTTGCCCATCCCTATCAACCCTGTATACAGAGGGGATAGGATTGATTTTGGATGTCTACACATCCCTGTGTGGTCACTTTAAGGCACAACCCATTTTTCCTCCCAGAATCTGGAGTGATGGTCTTTTGCAGGAACACAGGTCACCTGCTGGTCCTTGGGCAGTTGCATGTTTAAGGCACTTTAAGAACAGTGGTGGCTCTCTGCTGGAGTCTGTCCTGTAAGCTGCAGAGCGTGGGTACTTCAGCTGCTCCACACTTTTGCTTCCTCCTGTGAAGTAGACCCTGGGGGGGGGATCAGTCAGGCCCAGGACAACAGGAGCGAAGGAGTGTATGAGCATCTGAACTGAGGGCTCATCACTGAAGCGCCTCCCCTATGGGAATGACATTGCCCCCAGGTACCGGCTGTCAGATGAGGGCGAGTGGCTCGTGAGAGAGCTGGATATCTCTGTGGACAGGACTGAGGATGGCTGGGTTTCCCTGCAGGAGCTACGCAAGATCCAGAGAGAAGCTTCGAGAAAGTGAGAACCTTCTGTGTGTTGATGGAGGGGGGAGGGGTCCGAGTTAGTCCAGAAGAACTGGGATGCTACTGATTTTAGCTGAGATGCTAAAAGGCAAAAGCATGTCGTCTTTGTTCTTGATCACCCAGGTCACGCCGGAAGAAGTGGGAGGTGGTTGCTGAACGTGCGTGGATTGGGGGCACAGAGTCAGAAATGTTCAATAAGCTGGAAAGCATTGCCACGTCTGACACACCATGTACCCCGGTGCTGGGCTGTCGCATCAGCCGAGCCCTGGAGCCCTCAGCTGTCCAGGGGGAGGTATCTTGGCTACTCTTGAAGCATGGGGAGAGGGGTCCAAGGAGGGTAGGGCTCCCCCTAGGGTTCAGTGGAGTGTGGCAGGCCTCTCACCAGCCCCCCCCCCCCCCCCCCAGTTTATGACCAGCCGCGTGAACTGGGTGGTGCAGAGCTCTGCAGTGGACTACTTACACCTCATGCTTGTGGCCATGAAATGGCTGTTTGAGGAGTTTGGTATCGACGGGCGCTTCTGCATCAGCATCCACGATGAGGTTCGCTACTTAGTGCGGCAGGAGGATCGCTACCGCGCTGCCCTGGCTCTGCAGATCACCAACCTCCTGACCAGGTACGCAGGGCCCACTGCACACTCACATGTGGGGCTTCGGCCCATCTGAGCAGTCCTTACCTGTGAGCGTCCATCTCCCTAGAAATCAGTGTTTTCACGTGTATCTCTAATTTAAAAACGGAAATAGCTTGCCAAGCCCTAAAAAGACTGACCTCGACTTTTTAAAAAAGATTTCTTGAGTTTGAAAATCACATACACTAAGACTAGACTGCTGAGGTCAGGGACGTTGCTCCAGAGTTGTTTCCAAACTGTGCCCCCAAAGGAGCACACCTTTCTGCTTTGAAAGCAAATGACAGACTTTTTTTCAGTTTATTGAAAATTGAGCTATTTTTCCTTCTTCCATAAATGTCTTAAGTGCCAAAAGTTTGTTATTCTAACAGAACAGAGAACTTTGTGAATGGGAAAAATATAAATGTGACCTAAAAATGTTATATATATTTTATATATTGAGTTGTATTTTCTCGTAGTAAGATTTCTAGTTCATGTGGTTGAATTAAATGGTATTATAGTTCCCTATTGATGAACTCAACTAGTTTGGGAACCTGACCCTAGCCTGATGAATAGGTAAATAACAAATGTTTACAGTGCTCAGCACTGTTTCCATTGCCCTCCTCCTCATCTCCTGGGGGTCTGTTTAACAAAGCTACCAAGAAGTCCTCCTCTGTCTCCCTCAAACATTGGCCCAGTAATTGAAAGAGTTTTTTACATCAATAAAGTGAACTAAACTGTTAAAAACAAGTGTGTGTTGAGTCCATAATTGCGTTTGAGTGTCTCAGTGGGAGGCGTCCAGCCTCTCTAGATGCTGGATGGAGGGCAGACCTGCTGGGTCCTTGGACTCTCCTGCCTTAGTTGAGTCACACTCTGAGGGCTGCTTGGTGTCCCTGGAGAGATTGATGTTCCTTTGTCCACAGCGTGGGCATGCTTGTTGAGAGGTGACTGGGTTTCTTTCAGGTGCATGTTTGCCTACAAGCTGGGTCTGAATGACCTGCCTCAGTCAGTCGCCTTTTTCAGTACAGTCGATATTGACCAGTGCCTCAGGAAAGAAGTGACCATGGATTGTAAAACCCCTTCCAACCCAACTGGGATGGAAAGGAGATACGGGATTCCCCAGGGTGAGCACAATGCGTTTGTTCTTCATTATGCACAGGACGTAAGGGTGACTAGAACGTGAAGTTGGCCAACCTGATGTTTGCAGTATTCTAGATTATTTCAGTTCATAAGGTGCCCTGGGTTCAAAATGAACTTGTTCTTGTTCAGTCACCAAGGGATGTTTGTTTCTTGAAAGCTGCTCTTGGTAAATGATAGAAGAAGCTAGCGCTTTAACTATTCCATCTATACGTGTCCCCTCATCAATCACACCAGAGTAGTTTAAAGAAAATTTATTGTTTTAAATCAAAGTGCGTTCTTAGATTAAAAAGGAGGAGGCTTACTTTTACACAAAAGAAAACAGCCCGCCTCCCCGCCCACCCAAAATGTGACTTCATTATTTCTGGCAACTCCTCCCAGTCCCCCACCTTCATTTTGACCTTAACATTCAATTCTATTTTTACTTCAGAGCTCTGAGCTAGTTTTTAAGGGGGCATCCTAACCAATGTGCACTGTCTTTCAGGTGAAGCGCTGGATATTTACCAGATAGTTGAACTCACCAAAGGCTCCCTGGAAAAACGAAGCCAGCCTGGATCATAGCTCTGCCTGGAGTCTCTCTGTATTTGCTCCTGTGGAGCGTCATCGGGTGGTGCAGGCTCCCAAACTCAGGCTTCCAGCTGTGCTTTTGGCAAAAGGCTTGCCGAAGGCCAGCCATTTTCAGTAGCAGAACTTGCCAAGAACAATGAACTGATGGTGCGGTTGAGATGAATGGGTTCAGAACTAAAATGCCAACATTGGTGCAGGCTGTAGGACAAGGCGGCGGGGGCACTGTTGCTTGTCGGGCAAAAAGAAAAAAGAAGCCCCTAAGTTCGTATTAACTCAGGCATTTCATTTATTTTTTCCTTTTCTTCTTGGCTGGTTCTTGGCTCTGTCCCCTGTCCTCTGATGCAGTGACCTGGAACAGGAAAGAAGTGATGAAAAGTCTGCTCTGAGGCAGTGGAAATAAAAAAGCCAAACCTTCATCTTCTTGTCAAAGCTTGTGTTAGTCGTGCTTCCCCTTCCTGACTCCAGAAGGAGAGTGCTGAGGAAGGAAGGCAGTGCAACGTGCACTCCTTTAGACTTTTATACCTGCGGAGGTTCCAGGGCCACAGCCCCCCCTGCACACATTGTGCCACTGTGGCCAGGCGTGTGATCATCTAAAGAACATGTTCAAATGTTTTAAAAAGCAGAAATTTAGTGTTTTACCTAAACTACTTTTGAAATAAGGATGGGCCGTGAATTTGCTACCTCTATCTAGACAAACCTAAAGTGAATGTTTTAGGAGCTAGAGATACAGACATGGGACTCTGCTCCAAAGATGCTGCAGTGATGGAATGGGAGACGAGCAGGTAGATCTAAGGAGGAGGAGCAAAGCAAAGGGGAAAGGAGGGTAAGAAAGTCCATGGATGGAAGGAAGCCTTACATGAACTTACAGGGAGTGGCCCTACTTTGAAGAGGAATTAGATTGGATTCTAGTCTAATGCTGCCATATTTCAAAGATTTAAAAGTTCACAGTTAGACCCACAAGAAGACCTTTCCAGTCACTGCCCCCTCCCCGGGAATGTCTATAAACCTGGGCAACTTGGTGCAGCCTGTGCTCAAAAGTTTATAGCCCTTCTCTTAAAAGAGTTCTTTTTTTAAAAGTTTTGTCTTTGGCCCCCTTTCAAGCGGTCTCTTCTGCCAGTTTTCCCCCCTTCACTGATGTGTGGCTGTTCCCAATGGACTGAGCCACTGCCTAGGGAAGGCTGGTTGGGGCCTGCTGCTCTCCAGGCAGACGCACCAACTGACCTCTCCGGTTTCGTCATTCTCCTCCTCTTGAAAAACCATGTCCAAGATGTTCCCTTTGATCTTGAAGTCCCGTGAGGTGCTGAGCTTCATGTGCTGCATCAGGTTCACCTATAAGCATGAGAACACTCTCCGGTGGGCAGTTTACCTTGTCCTGCCTGGGGCCGTGCAAACCAGACTCTACCTCAGACAGACTCTCTAGTTCCTACTTAAAGTAGGCAGACTTGGTAGCAAAGGCATAGAAAAGGGTCAGAGTTTGGTCCCTACCCTGTCCCGCCCACAGTTGTGCTGCTTTGGTTTGTCAGTTCTCCCAAGAGGATATAGAAATGGTAGAAACCAGTAGTCTTGTTTACCTTAGACCTCTTAGAAAGGTGGATGAGAAATTTTTCATACTGTTCAATGGCAAAAATGAGGTTAGGGATTGGTTTGGTTTCTCGAAGGACTCTGGCCTATAGGGCAAAAGAAAAGAATCAAGACCAAAACTTAAGGTGCAGGGTGCTTCTGAGGACTGCAAAACTCTTAAATTGTCACTAGCAGAATAACTTACTCAATTTTATTTATACGCTGGTAACAGGAGTCCTGGTGTGGTGCTGTAGGATAAGCACTGGACTGGCAAAATGGGTTCAAATTAACTCCTTGGAAACTATACAGAGTCACTATGAGTTAGAATTGACGCGACGGCACTTAACGACACATCTAAGACTTAAGGAGCTTGTTGGTGTAAATGCTCTGCTGTTTATTGAAAAGTTGGTGGTTCAAACCTACCCAGCAGCCTTCATGAACGAAAGACCTGGTGATCCCTCCCTGTAAACACTGGCCTAGGAGCCCCGTGGGGCTCTTCTGTCATGTGGGGGTGCTATGAGTCAAAATCAGCTGACAGCAAATCACTAAACTCTTAACTTTCAGGTATTTGTTATTTAGAGACAGGATGAGTGTAGGGCCTCTTAGGCATGACAATCTTAAAACACCAGCCCATTCTGACAGCTTTCTAATCTGCAAAGGAGTCAACTGCTGGGATTATGCATCTCTCCCCAATTTGAATGGTAACTTCCAGACATTTCTTGTGAATACATGTTTTTATAAAAACACAAATAGAGACATTATACACATTGTTTTCATCCCCCCACACAAAGTATCTTTTTTTTTTCCCTCACAGTATCTTTACCAAATATCTTCTTTCTTTTCATGCCTGCATATGTTCTATAATTTTATTTAACCCAGTCTTACATGAATATTTTAGTTGCTTCTAATATTTCACTTTTGCAAGTAACTGCTGGGGCCATCCTTGTGCGGTTTCTGTATCTCAAAAGAATCGTTGCATTAGACTATCCTCAAATTCAGCACCTACTGACAAAATTGCCACCCCTCAAAAGAAGGCTGTACACAGGTGGGATCCAAAAATTTTGTGAAAAAAATATTAAAAAATGAGTTTTTTTCCCACAAACTTGAAACCTCCTTATATGTATGTGTGTATGTATGTCTGGCAACAGCTTTATTGAGCTATTATTCACATACCATACAATTCACTCATTTACAATGTATATAGGTTTCAGAGTTGTAATGCTATCACTAAACTCGATTTTAGAATATTTTTATATCTCCAGGAAGGAACCCACTAGCCACTAGTAGGCACCCTGTCTCTTCATCCCCACCAACTCTGATGGTGGCTATGTACTGTGGAGTCAGTTCCAACTCCAAGGGACCCTGTACAGGGTTTCCTAGGCAACTAGTCATCTACTTTTTGTCCTGCAAAATCCTTGCCATCAAAGTCAGTTCCAGCTCACAGGAAGCCTACAGGGCAGAGTAGGAGTGCTGCCCCCTAGGGGTTTCTGAGACGAACTCTCTACAGGAAGCCGACCGCCACATCTTTTTTCCTGATGTGAATCACGGCTTCCTTCACCCACTGTACCTCCTTTGCCTGGTCTGGACGTTGCATGTGAGTGGAAGCTTTTGGAACTGTGTCCTTACACTCAGCCTATGTTCAAGGCCCACCAGCAGGTACATTTCAGTCAGTGGCAGCAGCAGCTTACCATGGCTGTGGCAATGGCAGCACTTTTCTCCTTTTTCTTCTCTCCTGTAGATTTCAGGCTCTTATTTTTCTTGTTCTAAAGAAAAGAAACATTCATTCCTGAAGATTTTCCTACACAGCTAACAGGCTAGTGGGAACTTCCCTAAAAGGCAATTAAAACAGTACGGCAACTCTAAGGAACCCTGGTAGCATAGTGAATGAGCTGGGCTGCAAACCACAAAGTCAGCAGTTCGAATTTACCAGTTGCTCTGGTAGCGTAGTGGTTACGAATCAGGCTGCGAACCTTAAGGTCAGCGGTTCGAAACTACCAGCCGCTC